CAGAAAAAGCTTGAAGGTAAAATCTTCCCAATCTTCTCTCCATGAACTCCATCTGGGAACCCTCTTTTAAAGTTGGATAACAAAACTCTCGCAAATCCCTTGTAACAGCCCAACTGTGAGCTTTTTATCCAGACAGTGAATGGAGGTAAAAGTAGAGAAGTATTAGTCAAGGAGAGTTCGAGGTCAGTTTATCACACATTTAAAAAGGAATTCTGGTTTATTACAACTTTGGTCTTGTTTTCAAAGTTTTAGCTGTGATTTCAATCAGTGATAAAATTGTACTCAACCAAGTAATTAAGTTAGCCAGAGGATCCGACAGGTTGTGAACAAGCCCACAGTTTAGCCAGTTTAGGAAGTCGGTCTGTAAACATTGATGTCATTGATGAAAGTAAGACCCAAATTGTAACCAGCATTTTCTTTAAATAATTCCATCCAGGATGTGTGTTTTAGATGCTCTTCCTTTTCCAATCCTGAATTATCCTTCAATCTAATATTCACTTCCTGAAACGATCTTCTTACGATTGTGTTAAAGTGAATTAAACAGCTGCACAACAAGCTCAAGGCCAGATGCTATGGTTTTGAAGTGTAGAAACGGAGGGAGAGGGGGAACACAACCCACACATCTCGGCTGGAGGGGTAAATGTGGTCAGAGGTAAGCCAGCAGTGCTTTAATGCCGAGTCATGCTCTGTGTGCATCACAAACCATTATTACACTACCTTAGTGCTACTCCTCATAACATTCTCATTCTCTGGTACGCACAGTGGGTTCATCCCCAGCTGCCTGTTACTGCTGGACATTATGACAGATATTGATTAGTGCAGCTTTAAAGGGATAGTATGTATGTTTTGAAGTGGGGTTGTATGAGGTACTTATCCATCGTCTGTGTAGTACTTACAGTAGTTGGGAGTTTGCATGCCCCCAATTTGGAGGAACTGGAGTACCAAAAACCATGTACTGCCGAGGACGGGGAAAACAGCAAAATGATAAAAACAGAAAATATTCTAAATACAGCGTACATATTCACTGATATTGATTTCTTTGTAGCTGGCTAAAATACGTAACCCTGCCCTCTTCCACAGCAGTACAATGCTTTGCTCCCCTACTGGTACTCCTGTCTGTTTCTTCAAATCGGAGGCATAACGACCGTAATCTACTGTAGGTAATACACCGATTTTGGATTACCTCATACACTTCAAAACACCCAAACTATCCCTTTAAGCTTTGAAGTCATATTCTCTGCTGTGTGTTCACACTCAAAATTGTTAACACACTTGCACAAATGGGTTACACCCACCTCATTACATTAAGAGCTGCACCTTTCCTGGTGACCTTTAACCCTGGACAACCCCCCACTGCCCTTTGAAAGACCCACTGCTCTGGTTACATACACACGATTGTACACACACAGACATGTGATCGCTTTCCCTAAAGAAGGCCACTTCTCTTCCAGTCATTAGAGGGATGGAGGCAAAAGGAAGGGGGAGGGGCTACTTTGGCTGTCCCTCAACCACACATGGGTCAAGCACAAATTAAGACACATGCTCACGGGTCTAGTCAAGAAATGAGCTCATTTGGCTCTAAGAAAGTCTCATGTACCTTCTGACATGTTGACTGTATTTTGTCTTGTGAGTCTGTTTTTCTGTGTTGGTCTGCAGAGATGTGGTGTGACACTATCTACGGTAATATTGACACAATCATCTAACTTCACACCGTTTAACTCACTGGCACATTTGTGCTTGTGACTGAGGACATGGACAAGAGCTTGATGACATTTTAATGTCATCTCTTCAGAGTTCGGAGCCTTCATATCAGACGATCTTTTTGTCTAAACTCCAACCAAGTGTGTCCCCAGCTTTCTAAAGTCAGTGAACCCGCGATGATCTTTACTGCATGCACCTCGTATTACATTTCACTATCGCGAATATGCTGAATTAGACAGGTATCGGAGCTTTTAATCGGATATTTCCCACCTGTCAGAATGACCTACCTCACCTAAAAGCACCTTTGTTTAGTTGCATTTCGTCCTGAGAGAACCACTGCTGGCTGTTACTATCACAGTGGTGTTTGCAGTGCTAGATGCCAACTGGTCAAACACAAGCTGTCGCTTGTATCACTGGAAGGACTAAGAAGAGGATAATTTCCTGTATTGACTTTATAACAATGGTTATGGTCCCAACTTCAAGGCTAGAATAAAAAATGGCCAAGGGAGTGGGAGACTGAGACTTCAGAGGTCCTGCAGTTTAGATTTTTAATCCTTCAGGAATTTTGTAATCTTGTGCCAACAAAGTATTACGGAACATGAGTTGTTACTAACAAATACTGGACTTCTGCTTATTTGATGATTGAATTTTAGGGGCATCAATTAACTAAATTACAGAAAACAACACGGTGATTGTGAGGTCTTTTGTTATGCAATACCTTATTGGGCTAAATTGTCTAATCATGGATAGTTCAGATGCAGAAAGTTCATTGGATGTTTGTGCATTTTATATATAAAAGTCTGTCAATTAAGCAAATATATGAGTGAGTGACAACTGGCAAACAAAAGAACAATTGCCTGTCAAAAGAAACAGTCTGCTTCATAAGGGGGTATTAGTAATGACAAATGTGAGAAAAAAGAGGCTTTTAATGCAAGCAGGTCTCACACTTGGCTGAGTTTCACATGGCTTTTCTCAACTATAGCCCCGCAGTCCGCTTTATAGCTGAGTGACTGAACATGGCTCACCAGCCCTTTTTGGAGGCTTCCTTCCTTTCCGTATTGCCCCCCTCTCCAATTGCCGCAAGGAGAGGGAGTGATAGCGTGAGAGGGGACGGCATGGGAGGGGACAATGATGTTATCTCATATTTCCATGTCCTGTTCCAAGTTTCCATCCTCTAAGGAAATATTGTTGTTTTTTGTTGTGTTTTTTTCAGTTTTCTTCAATAAAAGACGATTTCCTAAGCCTTCTATTAATAAAGAAACATACCGAGAAAACTCTGACCAGAGCTGTATGTATTTAACTTAACTAGGATCAGGAACTGATATTGTGTGTTCTGCAACAACATAGCCCCGCACTTACAGTAGATGTGATGAGAATACACGCTCCAAAAAATTCATAAATTTGACATTTAATTAATGAATTATTGATGGATTGTGGAATTGAACATCTCTTCTTTGATGGAGCATAACCACCCACACACACACACTCACCATTTTTGCATTTGACACCTGTTGTAATGGCCCTCCCTTCTTGCTTAAGGCCAACTGGGCTTATTTGACAAGGTCGCATGCATAACAACCCTAATACACACCTGCTCGCTATGGCCAGTGGACCTTATCTCAACCCTGGAGTTGGCTCCATGTACAGTAGTCAGCAGACACAACAACTATCAATAGAAATCCACTTTAATGCATTTGTAGGAGATTATAATCTCTTATTTTCCCATTAACCTGCCGTCTGTGTGTGGATACACATGCACATGATTTTGATGGGGGGTTTGAAAGTGCTGTGTGCTGACAGTACAGTACGCCCATCCTAAATCTGCTCTGAGCCACTAGCAGCTGTCTCTGAGATGGCTAAATGTAGCAGATACACATTTCCAGTGTGGGCTAACCGTGCTCACATTACACTGTATTTTTTGAATAAGATAACATGGACAGGGTTCATTTATCAAAGGCCCCTCAGCAGTGTGGAAAGTGGAGAGGTTACTTCACAGTGTGGGGGAGAAAGGGTCATTTTTGTTTATGGATTATGTCATGTTTTTTATTGGCTGTCAGAAAGGAGCTGGGGGGAGGGTTTGTAGTACCGTAGGTGTAGGTGTACTTACAGAGAGTGTTCAGAATATGTTATGGGAGTTGAGTGACGGGAGGTTAACAAAAGTATTGTGGTTTCAATAGGAATCCATTACCTGTGGAAATTACTTTTACAAAAAAATTCTACATTAGCACTTGATAAAAGTTCTCGAACTAGCAAAAAAAGACCAGGAAATGCAAAAATGTCAATGATTTCAGTCAATTTAAAGGAATATTTAGGAAAATATGCTCTCTCACTTTCCTTTCTTACTTTTCTTACCTCTTATGGCTATATATGAAGCCACTCTCAGGAATCTGTTAGTTTAACAAAACTTAGCTCAAACACTGGAAACGGCCTAAAACAAAATGTAAAAACAACACTTTTTGTTTCATTTTTACACTTTGTTTTTTGTACGGCTTGTACATTTAGGAAATAATCATACATAACTTTGTACAGTGAGGTCACCTTACCCCTGCCAAGTAAAGAGATGTATTGGTGATTGACAGTAAAGCTATGGTGTATGGTTCCACATGTACACCCTCACAGACAGTAACCTAACCTGACCTGAACTGAATGTCAGGGATTCCATACAAGCACTGGTGTTCCTAGAATCCTCGTGGCTAAGTTACAGGCCATGAAGTTGATTCGTAACAGTTTAGACATGCCGGTAATTACAGTTTAGATTCGTTCATGAGCACACCGATATTCACTTAGGAGTCATAGAATACTACTTGTTGTACTGATGCTTGATACTTTTTTCAATCTCTACTGAAGTATGATAAAATGGTATAAAGAAAAGTCTTAACTCTAATAAATGAACATTTGTGTCTCTCATGCTCTGTTCTGTTATTTCACTTTCTGTCCTCCTCCTCATCAGAAGAATACATTAACCAGCATCTCACCCCCGAGGATGTGACACTCTCATACTGACAACTAAGAATAGTTCTCGCTTTAATGCACAGCTCATATGCAGTAAAGGCATGCATCCACTTGGCTAAAGATTATTATTCCATGCTTTCCTTCCCTGAATCTATACAGCTTTTTTTTTGCATATTGTCATAGTAAGCAATAAAGCTCAGCTTATATTTGTGTGATCTCGTGGGCTGTAATCAAAATAAATGAGATTGGAGCAGCTCTACAAATTAGATTCGACTGTGCAGGCCAATCGGAAGCATGCCATTAAATGAGTATTGGTTGGCTAATTGATTGTTTTTTTGTGTTCTCAGGGTAAAGGAGTGGGTGGATCAGATGCAGAAAGAGTTGATCACATTAACAGACACAGCCAGTGGTATGGACAACCTAATACAGGTAAGCATGAATTTCTGCTCTATTTTACACATTTTTCCCCGTCCAACACCAGTACCAATATTATCAGATTGAACCAACAATTGGTAATTACCATTTGGACCAAATAAGTAGACGAGTCAAAAACGAACACATACTGATTTCTTAGCTTAATTTAGTTAAATAGAAACCCATTGCGAGGGTTCAGCATTGACAAGAATTATTGTGTGTACTTCAAGTCATTACTTGTCTCCGTCTCACTAACACTCCTTGCATGATCTCAGCTGTCACAAAGCATCACCAGGCTATATATATATATAGTATAGCTTCTCATCAGACATAACGCTGCATACATTTTTTTCTGCCAGCCCGATGTATACGCTCAGATAAGATCAGCGTCATGACTATACAGATGGTCCTTGCACACTCAACCACAAACAAACCCACATCTGACAATAAGGAGAAGAAACTTTTTAAATCGACATTGATTGACATAATGCATCTGGCACTTTCGCTCTCCGCTCGCTTCGAGAATATAATCGGCCGGCTTTAAAGCATCACAGAAATCATTACAAAACACGTTTGTGTTCCATTTGTGGCGTGACTTTTCAGCAAAAATGAGAATTAAACATATCTGGCAATGTTTTGTGTAACTGAACCCTCTCAAACTGTTGCTGTAACAGAAGCTGATGCTTTTGGGGATGGCCTTATTTAAACGTAGTGTAGTGCACACAGCATGCAGAATTTAAAAGGAAGTGTAATGAAGCTTGCAAGTATGAATACATGTGGAGAAATTGCTTGTGCAGTTACAGCTGGAATACTTTCTAACAGTGTTAATGGTAGGCATTATTTATAGACTTTTATGCTCACAGTTGTGTTTTCACCGGGAATTATATTAGTTTTCAACTAAGACTCCCCAAATCCACACAAATGGTTACTTTCAGTTCCAACATTCAGATTAAAAATAGAGATTCCACTAAGATCCTCCTGGATACTTTGTAATAACTTAATCTACATCTAAAAGTCAGTCGTATTACTCTTAAATATTGCTCTCGCACTAAAGCATATCCATCAGATGCCTGGAGGATGAAGACAAATGCATGCACGCGCCTCCGTTCTGTGGTTTGAATGTCGGACAATGAAATCCCTCTAGGCTGCTAAATAATTGGCTGTTTGGCATTTGTGTGTCTTATTTCTTTTGCTGGAGCATATTCCATAGCAGAGTAAGTGGTCTTGTTACATAACCAGACATTGCAATTTAATCAGTGGACATGTAGCTTCTTTTTATAAGTCGATGTGCTTCGGTCATTGCGGTCCCAAGAAGAAGAGATAAAAGAAGATGACCACTGATGCAGAGTAACATTTTAAGACTGAGAGTACTTGAGAGGGATCATTTTGTATGCAACGAAAACACATGTCACTGATAATTTTTTGCTACATGTTTCTTTTTAGAACTTTATGTAAAAATGTTGTTGTCAAATCATCATTTTGGGGATGGAGACTTGTAAGCATTAGGCATGTCACCACACCCTCTCTCTTTTCTGCTAAAGCCCTTTTGACCATTTCCCCGTCCACCTGTCAGCATCACGCAGCTCTGGACTGCTGCGATGGCCTAACCAAAAAATGCAGGGTCATCCGACAAAAAAGTTAAATCTAGCTCAATATTTGACTCTATTACTCGTATTGGCCTTCCTGGGTTGTGTTACATTGTCTCATCGGTCCCTGGAAAACCAAATCCCGCACCAACACAGCCCGTGGCCTTTTTAAATGCAACTAGTGTTCAGCCTGAATGCCTGCCTTAATGATTAAGACTTTACATCAAAGATATATGGGTCTTTCAGTTGAAGTTCTGCTCTGACCTCTGCTCTCTTCCTCTGATTGTCTCAGATATATCATCAACACAGACCTCACTTCAGTGTCGAGACCAACAATCCAAGGCAACTGGTGGCGACAGCTGCTGGGAATATAGAGAAACTGCTGGCTAACCGCTCCCAAGCCCTGAAGGTAAGTGTGATCTCCGAACACAAAATGATCTGGTGGCAACACTGCTTCTTGGTGGAGTAGAGCAGTTTGGTTATTGCTTCTTCTTCCTGGCAACATAAAAGTATTAATTTTTTTGTTTGAGATGGGAACATTAAATGCAAATTCTATGCTGTTAGTGAGACCAGATCCAGTCCGTACATCTCTCCTAGCCCAGAGCCCAGAGCCCAAGGAAACACAGAAACAATCTGCTCCTCCTCAATTCATGTCAGAGCAGACGCTGGAACATAGCCACTGCTTCAGGCCGTGCACTGATCCGATATGAGCAGACATCCTCCAGCTAGATGACTTAATTCAAAGTTACCAGTCTGGGTTGCAACATGCCAAAATAAATATACAATTTTATTGTGTATATGTGTTGTATTACTTTTTGCTGTTTCGAAGAAAAAAATAATAATGTTGCAGATGACCCTGTTTAGTTTCAATTGTAGGAATCCTTGAGGACGAGTCTGCCCTCATACCGAATCCATACTAAACGAATACTAAAAGCGCTACGCTAGGCAAATGCTTTCATTTTGTCGTTAAGAGTTTCTGACAGAGTTCACCCAAGTGGCTGAACTCTTCCTTTTTTGAGTGGCTGACCAGACGATTCAGAGCTGTGAGTTTGTGTCAGATTTGGTTTCTTCATCTATAGTTAAATCACTTTGTACTGCACAACCTTTTGACAAACTATAGAAACACGTTATCTACAATGTAACATTTTGTCCATGCTATCTTCATAGGTTCACTTTACCTCTAGCACCAACAGCTGGTTAACGTTTTAGTTTTTTTGTGACATGTCTTGATAACTATTGGGTGGATTGCAAAACACATGGTGTCCAGAAGATGAATCCTTGTGAAGATTTTATGCAGACTTTTATGGTTCCCAAAGGATTCATCCTTACAGGAACCCTTGACTAGTCCGCTTGCACCACAATGAGCTTCATCTTTGTCATTTCGAGTGAAATGCAACAACATGGTTTGTTGGTAAAAATGACTTGCTAAACATCAGCATGTCCTAGTCTTGCTTGCATGTCGTTACAAATGGACAACAAGCTAAACACAACAGTATTTGGCAACTGAATAAGGATCTCCGGGCGCTCCCGGTCTCGATCAATCCGGCTCGAGAAACACCCAGTTCATGCTTGACAGCCTGTTGCCATAGTTACATTGTCATTGATTACCCCATCAATCCAGCCAACCATTTTGTTTTTCTTACATCTCAATAAATTGCCAGGGGATGAGGGACCATTTGTGTCTGATGCTGTCGTGTCGCACCTCGGAAGAGAAACAAACTGCTCAGTGACTTGATGGCGGCGCAATAAAGATGTTAAACTACAGGCTCTGTGCTTATGTTTCTCATCAACACCATCCGCTGTGTGTTCCACCTGTGCATGTTAATGCCAGTTGTTTTGCTCTATGCTACAAATATGAAAATTAAGCTAAACACCATATGCTTTTGTTCTCTCAAAAATAATGTTTACTTGTCACTGCATTAGCATTGAAGAGATGGCCCATGGCGGCGTGGTTACTACTGTAAATGGTGTTCTGTGTAATGAAGTATATTGGAGTTGATCCAGCTTCATGGCCATCAATTTGTGAAAGGGACCATAAATAGTTGCTGTGTCCACTAAGCTGTATCATGAATTGAAATTGAGGGAATGGACGACTGCAGCATCTGTAATGTTCTTGACCTTACCTACACTTATCTAATATATCCCTGCACCGCTTTCAATCTATGCTTTAAAGAATTTCTCCCTTTGACTCACCATCTTCAGAATTTTTTCATCCCTCTCTCTTTTCTCTGTCCAACTTTTTTTTGTTCCATTTGGAAGGGCTGATTACAGACAACATGAAGTGATCATGAAAGCGAGGGTTTGTGTTGATAGGTTGTAGCTTTTTTGTCCGAGGGAAATTGAATGGCCTGATGTGTATGAGAGAGAAATGATAAGTAGAGGGAGAGTGGTAGGAAGTCCATGAGTGCACTAAGTCACACCTCCCATGAGGCAGCATACAAAAGACTAGAAGCCTATTACAGACCTCCCATCCATTAAGATTTTGGCCTTTTAGTACACAATTCAACAGGCAGCACTCTCACCGCTATGTGCTGTGTGCTACATACAAACAAGTTTCCACCCTCAGATACGATTGGACACTGAATTCTAGCTAATTAGTGTTTAGCAACTATTAAAGGCATTTTTGGTAGACTCCATATCCCTGAACCTGCCCCTGTACTATAATAATACATTGATTTTTACAATCCAAAATGAAAAGCTAGAGCTGGAAGACTTAATTTTCTGAGTTTTGGAGCATCATGGTTCCCCAGTTTATTGTAGCAACTCCGGACAAGTAGTTTAACCAAGATGGGTATTGTTCAGGAAGCCTAGTCCGTTCCAGTCCAATATCACAAATCACAAATTTTGCCTCAGGGGGCTTCATCATAATGAACTAATGTTACCCTATGGTTTTATAGTAACCATGTTCCCTTTTCATATCATAGCCAAGCAGCGTGAGTCATGGACCTGGCATCAGATGATTACAGTAAGACATCATGTCTTAGTGCTTTACAACCCTCTGAAATTGTCTGTATTGCAATTTTCCACCCCCTGCAGTAGTACAGCTCAGGCCGTGTTGTGCATGAAATAAGCAGGATAAATGCCGCCTCACTGACTGCTGGCATTTCTCTTTACACTAGGGCAACTTCTCTCCTCTGGCTATACTTTGCACGTTTGTTTGTTTGTTTGTTTGTTTGTTTGTTTGTGTGTGCATGTGTGTCTAGGTTGCCAGTAATTGTCAAGGAACACAATCCCATTAGAATGATGGCTGCTGTCATTAACTTAATCAGGGGCCTGCTTGGATTTGCTGTCTGTCAATCTGACATCTGCCCATCCTGTCACCTCAATGCAGTCGATGCGTTTGACGTCGGTGCTCCCTTGACATGCAATCTCTCACATGCTGGCAGCTGTGGCTGTTTAGAGGGAGACGGATCTTTCATCACTGCAAAAAAAAAATCATGTTTATACTCATAGTGGGTCTAACTCTGTCTTGGGACAAGACAAGACAAGAAGCATACATATTCAAGAGTGTGTTTCAGCAGTTTATTGCAAGGTGTAAGCAATGGCAAATTAAGCTTAAGTTCTATCAGGAAGACTATCTTTTAAGTCTCATTCACTCACAATTCTTACAACTCTATCTGTAAAAAAATTCAGACAAGCGTCAGTACAGCAGCCCTGCCACACACACACATGCATAATTAAACTCTGCACATGTATGCATGGAAATGAAGTTCGAAAACATAGATCAATAAATTTCCTTAGCACTTGTTTAAAGTATCATAAGATCACATGTACAGAAAAAGCAAAGAAAGTAATCGGAGAGAGGAAAATGCTCGCTTCCCGGGAAAAGTCAGGAGCCAAAACAGGAAGCTGCACTGGTAGCCAATATCCTTAAGGACATTTTGCATCTTAATTCTATATGATGAGTTTGGGGTGTGGTACAGTTTCATTGCTAGTTCTTATACAATCTGACTGTTGTCTTCCTTCCTTATTCAGTTTTCGTCTAAAGCCCTGAGAAGGCTGCAAATGTATAGTTCTCCCTCTCTTTTATTCACTGTTTGAAACGTCAGTCCTCACTAGTCTGTTTCAACCATTTCAAGATAATGTTCCCAAAGCGTTGGTGATCTGGCTGGGGAAATAATTTAGTTTCCAAGGCACTCATGGGCGATCAAAGAACTTGCCTCTTTCATGTTGCACCACAATATTCTGCATTCAGTGTGCGTTGTCCTTAGAAAGATGTCAAGTGAAACTGGGGTTCCCAACAGGAAAGAAATCACCGCAGTGCAGAGAGAACTGCAAAACTTTTTTTTACCTCAGACAAAACCCCTCAAAGTTATCTGTGATGTATTGTAGCGGAGTATTTTAGCTTTTTAGATAGAGATACCGATGTGTGTAGTTGCTAAACCTTTAGAGAACAGGCTTCACTTGTAGCCAAACTGGAGATCTGTATGCCCACACACTCAAGTGCAATCACCTTTCCTACCTTTTTAGCCTTCTGAGCCTTTGTCCACATCCCTAAAATCATCCCTCTCCTTCCTTCTTGTCACATATGGTATTTTATCACTCCTGTTCTGTGTCTTTTCCATTCCACCCTCCAACCTTGTCCTTCCATCCTCATTGATCATGACTCCCTCTTCCTTTTCCATAACTTCATCCCGGTTCTCTGTCACTCTTCATTCCCATTTTCCCATTTTTGCCTTGCCCTGTGTTCCTCTTTTCTCCCTTTCTGTCCTCTCACATTTCTTCCCTTTCGGATGTATGCGTCTGTGTCCCTGTGTCTGTGTGTGTGTGTGTGTGTGGCACAGTTTGAATATGGATGATAAATTCTTCTGAAAGTAAGGAAATTACTTTAAAATTGTACACCCTCCCAGTCTTGCCTGTCGACTCTCTTTCCAACTTTTCTTTCCTCTTTGGGCCATTCTATCCAGTACAATTGAAATGCTTGTGTTTAAAATAAAAGGGAAATGCATGTTTCCTGTTTTTTAAAAGTGTATAGGTACAAAACAGATTACGATACAATAAGCAGATATTTTCATTTGGTAAAACAGGTGTCAGGTGTGACAGTGGGACACAGTAGTACTAGTATTATGTCATGTAAATCACTGAGAATACGGTCCATCCATCCACCCATCCAGAAAACACTCATCAAATTTGGACAACATGAGAGATTTTTGATAGTCCTTGAATAACAGCACTGGATGGGCTAACAACAATCCTCAATCAGCTGAACATCAATCAATGCTGAAGCAGAATGTCAGTGCTGAAATCAGCACTGGACAGCGCCACAGCCGCCTGAGCCTCATCAATAGGCTCTTACTCAGTTTCTGTTTCTTTGTGTGTCAATGACACAGATCCTCGTCTACTGCGCTCCTTAACAGTAGATCTCTCTCCGATATCCAAGCCAGCTCTGAATCCTCTGACTCTGTTCTC